CATATATATATATATATATATATATATATATATATATACACACACATTATTAAAAAATAGTCTTAAAAAGTATAAGATATTATACATTCTAAAAATTAATAGTAGTTATTTAATTTCCATGGCTAGTCAATGTGCACTACTTTAAAAACATAATAAGATACAGCTCAAAAAACACTTAACATCTCATATGAGAGAAGTCATTACAAAGATGTCCCACTTTAAGCATGTAGGTGAATAGTAACTCATCTCTGGCATTTTCTCCATTTCCTTTCTTACTTCCCTAGGTCAACACAGTTCAATTCAGATAACCTGGAAGGTGGGCACCTATTCCTAGGTTTAGAAAGGAAACCCAATGGCCCAGCTGTCGTAGCTCATATTGGCACACTCACCCAGGCTCTCTGGGTTCATCTCTGCTGCTTCCAAACCACGTTTTTCTTCTGCCTCACTTCCCAGGCTCACCAGGGACTTCTGCTTCATCTCTAACTGGGGAGATGACAGGAGCCACACAATTAAGCTGTCAGACAGAGTAGCAACTGCAGCCATGGAAAACTACTTAAAGTCACATGATGCTGAGACAGTGGAGGACATCACAGCTATCGCCCAGTACAGACACAGCACTGAGCTGTTTTTGTTTGTTCTAGGAGCAGTTGAAGTAAAGGAAACCCTCTTCACTATGGGATATCTGAAAGGAGTCTGTGTGACTTTGTTACTTTAAAAATTGAAGACTAGAGAGCCATAGCTCAATGACAGAGCACTTATGCTGCAGGTGGGGCGTTCTAGGTTCAATCCCCAGCGCCTCACAACTACACAAACAAATAACTAGAACACTGTTGTTGGAGGGTCAACACCACTAGGAGAGACAGAAAAAAAGAGTGTAGATTTAGGGACATGCAGTGTGGTAGGGCCACATATCTAATTTGATGTGAAGGTCAGACAGAAATCTGAAGTCTATTCTACCCTGAACACAAGGACACTCCCAAGTGAAGCGCTCTTGCAGAGAAGGGTGCTGAGGGCCAGCCATTGCCAGGGCATGGCCCATAATTTGGAAGGTCTTGAAAAAAAGGGCATATCTGTTGTATGGCTAAGTTCTCTAAGAGAGGAATGGCATCTTATCAAGCCATCATCAGTTATAAGCTATATCAGAAGCATAAGCTACAAAGTATCTAGTCAACTGCTAAACCCTTTATACGGAACTATTTGTGGTAGCCAACTTTCTCAGATATTCTTTGCCTTTCAATTTTAGTTAGGAGTATTGTGTTTCACTTTTATTGTAATGTAATACCACATTACCATGCAACATTGTGACACAGTACTATATAATTATAACATACATGATTAGGGATGTGGCTCAGTTGGTTGAGTGCTTACACAAAGCCCTGGGATTGATCCTTAGTGCCACATAAAACAGGTATGGTGGCTCATGCCTATAGCGTTAGTTTTTGGGAGGTGGAGGTAGAAGGATAGGGAAGTTCAATGCCAGCCTCAGCTACATAGGAAATTTGAGACCATCCAGGGTTACAGGAACCCCTGCTCAAAAAACAGAAGACACACACACACACACACACACACCAACATTTGGTTCTTCCATGTTACTGCTGTCGACCCGTTTCTGCAATATGCTTGGGCCTTTTTCTCTCCTTAACACAGGTACTGGCTGTTCAGTATCCATAAGGAAGTCTTAAAAGTTACAAAAGGACATAGAAAGGACTCAACTGAACCCCATTTACTCAGCATTTTCAACACTTAATCAAATTATGATCCAAGAGCTATAAAAGTTTGCATCTATTCATGACTGAAATTTGGTTTATTGAAGTGGGAAAATCTAAGGCATGTCACAACTTCATGGGGAGGCAAACCTTACCATCCATATTCGAATCCCATCTGCCAGGGAATACACCTGAGAGAATTCCTCACTCAGGGTTATCTTGCCCCCGCTGTTTACTAGGGAAAGAAGAAGAAAGGAAGAGATTATATTCAGCTGGCACAATTCACGGCTGCAGCATTAACCCTCTGAATCCTGGCACCCTTCTGACACATACTAGGGATGGTAAAAGGAAAAGCACAAAACCTAAGTTCTCCATGTTATTTCAAGCTAATTTTGCTCAAGTTAACAATTTATGAAATAGCAGTATTATGAAGTGCCCAAAATGTAGAAAAATAAAATATAAAGAAAACTGAAAACAAAAAACTTTAATATTAAAATTTAATTTAAAAATCTTTCACCTGGGGACTGGGGAGATGGTTCAGTGGATAAGAACATATACTGTACTAGCACAGGAATTTTGGAACTCCAGCGTCCACATAAAAAGCTGGGTATGGCCACACAAGCACCTTTAGCCCCAACATTCTAGGGGTAGAGATGGGGGAATCCTTGGACTCCTTAACTAGATGGCCAGCTTAGACAAGACTTGGGGAAAAAGGACTCTGACATGGGAAGCAGTTTACAGTACATTAATAAGAAAGCAGATTATGAAACAGTATAAATGAATTTTAAGAAGACTACCTTTAAGACATGAATGGACAAATACATATACAATGAATCTTTCTAAGGCCAGGTAGATATGTAGAAATATGTTGGCAGAGGTACTGTGATAAGATTATAGTTCATAATTACTTTAATCTTTCCTTTAGTTTGTAAGCCTCTATAAGAATGGATCTAATTTTTCTAATTAGAAAAATAACAACCCCCATTTTAAAAATATCTCTGAAGCCTGCCGCTTCTCCTCATCAAAATCAAAAGCTAATATCCTAAAACAGGATGAAGCAGGCTCTACAACAGGCACTAGGAGTGCAAAGCTGAAAAAAAGACATGATCCTGGCCCCAAAAGCTTACAATCTAGTTGAAATCTCTCATTTTCCTGATTCTACAGGGGTCACACCGTATCATGAAATTAAGGCAATTCAAAAGACTAATGACCCATGTTTTAGACAAAAATGAAGAAAACAGTTACAAAAGGCCATTCTCAATGTAGTTCAGTTTTGAAGAACTCTTGAATGGTTCTTAGATATGATGTATCTATCATTAAGACGATAGCAGAGGGCCAGAGTGGTGGTATCTGCCTACGCAGCAGATATTTGTGAGTTTGAGGCCAGCCTGGTCTACACGGAAAGCTCCAGGCCAGCCAGGGTTATATAGTGAAATCCTGTCTTTTAAAAAAAGACAGTTGCAGAAGGAACTGAATGAGATAAAACTTGTCTCTTTCAAACTGGTAACTAAGGTAAGGGGTACAGATCAGTGGCAGAACAACAAACAAGGGAAGATAACTTAAGAAGTATCTTTTGTATACCAAAACATTTCTTGTTCCCTTATCTGATCAAGGGTTTCTCTACTGCAAATAAATATGAGGTAGATAAATGATTTGACTACTCTCCTATCAGGACATCTTCCATGTTCAGCTTTTGATCCATGAACCCTTTACCATCTAACAAAAAGTCCCTTAAGTAACAAAGATGATTCACTACCTTACCATAATTTGACTACCAAAACGCATACTAATTTCTTTCCCAAAACCATGCAGATGACCCCTCCCTATAGTTCAGTGAAGATATAGTCTTCCATGTATCACTCATGTCTTAACATAGTTTTATCTGAATGGCTTTTTTAAAATATGTAAGATTTGAGGAATAATTCAGATATTTTGGTAAACAGGAAACAAAGCAAGAGCTTTATTGACTGAGATACACAGATTATAGAGATCATTATACATAATAATGACATGAGTCAATCACCTACTCTAATATGGGGAAGCATCTGCTCCTACTTATTTTATCTGGAGTTGAAGGAACACGTACCCTGCCAAATTGTTTGGGAAACCCATACCTCAGCGTTATGTAGGCTTTGAATGCTTTTCCCTGAATAAAGATGATGGTAGAGACCCTCCCTCCTTGTGGACAATGAGGAAAGGAGGTGCAGAAAGGTTGTTTGAGCATGCTGAAGCTGGGGTTATGAGTTATGTTTTCTTTCAGTTAAATGTTTTGGTGGTAGTTTTCCATGGGAGTTCTGCAGAACAAGGTTACCTGACATGTACTAGAAGTTGCTAAGTGCTAAATGTAAATTAACCACTGATCTCTTGATTGGCAAAGGAGAACTGACAAGATTAAGTTGTAGACATGGACTAGTATCTTTAAGTATTTCTAGATCCTCACTTAGATGGGCCTTCTTAAACCTTAGCAATAAGCCTTCAGATCAAACATATTCCCTGTAATATGAGTTACCATATTTTTGCAGCTTCTCATATAAATCTGGAGTGCGATACACCAGAGCAGCAAAGGTGGCGTTCACAGCTTGATCAATAGTGGAACCAGCAACTATATCTGTCTTTGGGGCCTGTTTTCTACATGCCTGTATGAATCCTTTGAAAAGTTCTGAATATGGCCCACAGAAGTTCTGAGCAGGCTTTGACTGGGCAAAATCAAGGAGAAAATGGCGGCAGGGATCATCAGGGATGTTCTTGACCTAGGATCAAGAGGAAAATCATCACATTTAACACACTCATATGAAAAAAAAATCAATGAGCACCTACTAAGACAAAGCAGAAGTAAAAACACAACATGGTGCATGCTCTCAGGAAGCTTAAATCTATTTGGGAGAACAGAAAGATGTACAGGTTTAAAAAGTAAACACAAAAAAAACCTAAGAGTGTTAAAACTAGAACTACCATAAAGCAAAATATCACCCAGTGTCAAATACCTAAAGGGGTACCCAGTGCTGAAAATTCAGAGCTCCTGGCATGTCAAAGTAATTAAGAAAAACCTCCTGAAGAACACAGGCTTAGGAATGGACACTGAAGGAAGGGAAGCCTTGGCCCTGAGACACAACCATTTGCAGAGGTTAAGAGTCAGCGGGGAGACTGACCTGGCCTGAAGTCTCAGCTGGGGAGTGGTGGGAACTAGAGTCAGATAGGTAAGGTGAAAGGAGACTGTGGAGAGCCTTGACTGTCACACTGAGGAGTTTAGACTTCACCCTGTGAGCAATGGGGAGCCATTAATGGTGTTTGGCAGTGGAATGACAAGATAATGCAGTGATTAAAAACAAAAACAAAAAAATCTTGGTAGGTCCCAATGTAATAATGCAGGTGCAAAGAGAGGGCTTGGATAAAGATGGAGACTGAGGGGAGGACAGAGATGCACATCATAAGGAAGAATCTGGAGGGCTTGCAGCTGACCACAGAGGAAGGGCAAGAACAGGGCAGGGATGAAGAAGGCTATGGAGCAGTGGTGAGGGCTGGGCAAGTAATGACCACTGAACAGTCTGTTGGGGAGGCATTCCGGTTTCACACTTTGGATTTAATGAGAAGCAGGATGTTGAAATGGAAACACCTAAGAGAAGACTAGAGTTTGGAGAAGAACTATGGCCAGACGGATTATGGAATTATTCCCATAGTTGGGACAGTAAGAGAGGACAGAAGATGGCATCCTGGGGGGGGGGTTATGAGAAAGAAAAGGAAGTCTGAATATAGTCTACTCTTTAGAGAAGAGGGGAGAAAGGGCAACAAAGAGGGAGAAAGAATAGGTAGTAAGAAAAGATTTTCAACTATCATGGACAGAAGGACATGGCCTAAAGGGTGGTGGATTTAACAGACAGAATGTTGACTAGAAGAGGAAGAGCCACTGGGTTTGGAAATAAACCATGGGATAACTCTGGAGGAAGGAGGAATAGTGGAGAAGAAAGAAGGAAAAGAGAAGAATGGGAAAAGAGGGACAAGTAGAGACAGAGGGCAAACTAACTTCGTTTTAAAAAGACCATGTACCTAAGCTAAGTGCTACATACAGTTCAGTGGGGAACAAAAGAAACGACACAAATCATTTAAAGTGTGATCCTGCAGGCACAAGAAGCACAGTCCACGTCTGTATGGTAATACCAAAAGAGCCACTGAGCACTGACTATAGTTCACCAGTCATTCATTTCACACTTGCGACCACTCATTGTATTCAGGCCCCTGTTGTACACAGGTTGGGGGATAAAAATAACAATGGCAGCTTCAGCTTCAAGGAGCTCACAGTCCCACAGAGGCGATAAGACAAAAACGCAATGTTTGTAACTTAAGGTAACAGATACAAGCTGTAAGTTTCCACATAAACAGAAAGGTGACAGAAGAATAAATACCTCCTTCCCATCCTGGTGCTGTTGAGTGGGCCAGTTTGCTTCTAATTCTAACTCTGGAGAAATCTGATGCCTGAAGACAGGTTTCCATAAAGGAGAATTCAGGACTGAAGCCAATTTTGCCTGTGATACTGCCATGTTACTGCCTAAATCTGTAGAGAAAAGATGGCTCATGAGGGTTCTATTTTTAATACAGTACACAAATCTTTGAGCTGACAAAATTTTTTTGGAGGAAATTCACCTACAATTCTGAGAATGGATTGTGACCCCTCATAAACATCCACCGTGGGTCACCCTGGAGCCTGAGCCCGACTGCTGCTGCTTTGCTATTGGCAGGCAAAGAGTAGGTGGGAAGCGTGGTGGGAGCTAGCTCCAGCCTGACAGGGCCATGTCAGAATACTAATCATGGGAAAACACTCGCCATTTATAAAGCTATTTTCACACAACTAAACACTCACCCTAGGTAACAGAAGCAAAGTCTAGGGCAACGTGAAGGTGCTGAGCACAGTGTTAGGTGTTAGCTCCAGGTGTTAGGGTGGAAGAGGTTTCTATTGTTCTGGGGTTTTTGCTTGCTGGTTTTGTTTTTCCTTATGTCATTTTTCTATGACATTTTACTTTTACAATTAGAAAAACTTAAGAAGTGATATATAGAAATAACAAAACAGAAAGAAAAAAACTTTTATACAGGGTTTTACTATATGGCCTGTAATTCGCAACATAGACCGGGCTGACCTCACACTCACAGAGATCCACCTGTCTCTGCTTCCTTAGTGCTGGGATTTAAAGTGTGCACCACCAGGTCTAAAAACAGAAAGATTTATTCTGCAAGTCTTATAGAGATTTATTCCAAATCTTTGAAGAATTTAATAACAAGCTAAATTATTTTACGACAAAGCCATATTTCTACATCCAGACTATATAAATATCCACATACAGTTGTTTGATTCTATATCTCTGCCCTCTGGCTAGACTATAGCTAAATCTATTAACAAATTAAAATTACTATGCTTGTTAAAATCTGGCTCCTCACCCACTTATCCTTCATAGACAGACTCCGTGGCACCCTCTGGGATGAGGGCCAAAGCACAAGTCGGGAAACTTCCTGATAACGGTGCAAATAGAAACTGGCTGGGAATGTTATTGATACCTTGCTCTGTCACTAAGTGAGGACCACCTAGAATAGAGCCCCATCTTGCTCCTCAACATGGTTCTGATGAAAATGAGGAGCCAAGGTCACAACTTACAATGCGCTGACTTGAGCGCCATGCACTGGGAAGCAAGACGTCCCATCAGTCGGGAGACAAGGAGTTGCAAATCCAAACCCCACGACACAGCAACATCAGGCAGGCCATATGCAGTGACAGTGAACTTGTATCCCCACTCATTGTTACTGCTGTCAGAATGAAAGAGGAACTGCAGCCGAGGACCATCCTTAAAGGTCACTTTCTAGAGACAAAGAAAATCATGTGGTCAAAGAAATGGCAGGAGGCTGTACCTCAGTAGTCAACAAGCAACTTGAAACTTAAAAACATTTAAGTTTAAGAAAACGTCTCTATTTCCAGAAGTTCAAACTACTAAAGGAGAAATGCACAAAGGTGCAATTAAGCCCCCATATTTATAACTGCACTCACAAAGAAGCAAAACAAGGAGAAAAATGGCTGCTCATCTTTGGAAACCTTGGGTGGCACCTGTCTGCAACCTTTCCAGCCAGCAATCATACTGATATGGGCCTCCGCTCCTAACCAAGATTCCTGTCAGCAACCGACAACGCAGCTCCCAACCGTTAGCCCAGAGACTAAGCAGAACTAAATGGGAGCTGGATTCTGAGCCCTTCTGGATCCACTAGTCAAGAATGATAGTTCTGTTGTCCCAAGGTCTAACAAAAGGAGAAAAACTACAGAAGGGGACACTTCACCTCTTTCTGTAAATGCCACTCACCTTGGGCCATTTATAAGTGCCAACTTTGGTGTCATAGCGTGTCTTCCCACCTCTAGAGTCAGTAAATTCCAAATAATCGTACCTGTGGAAGCACAGTCCCTGTTACTTCCTTCTCATGTTTTTGACCACTGTAGCTTGAGAAAAGATTCTACGACTCTCACCTTTTTTCAGTCTCACACCTCTCATCAAATTCCACCTCAAAATAAGTTGCCCCTGGGCTAACGAAGACAGACACTTCATGGCAGTTATTTTCATAGTTGTGGGTGGATTCCTTGGTCCATGTATGCAATACCACAGGCTGTTCCTGCTGCCAGGTCTCTACGTCCAGCTAGGAAGAAAAACAAGTCATAAAAAACAGCTCAAATCACTCCACCCCAACTGGTACAACAGGGTGCTATCAGCACTGCAGGGGCATGGGCCCTGGCAGCTCTGAAAAACAGGGTTAAATGGCATGTCTGACTTTGCAGTCCATATAGACACCAACACCTGCTCATCACTCGGTATAGCACACACCTGCTTTTACTATAGTCCTGAGGCTGTGACCAGCTCCTGTCTTTTAGGTATGACAGAACTATTTCTTACAAATGATTATGAGTATGAATTTTCAGTAGAAAATAAAACAAAACAAAAAAATCGAATTTGAGGCTTAACAAAACAGTAAGACTTAACATTCTTATTTAGGATTTTCGCAAATCTCAAACTTCTCCTTTCTTCCCTGACCTCCTTTTAAACCTATGAAATGTATATACCTTTTCTATTGCCATAGGGCTATTGTGGGATGCAGACCATTAGAAACTGTTTACTGAAAAATGAAGAAGAGACTTCTTTAAATACCAAACCTAATTTGCCTGTGAAGTCTTTTAAACTTCAGCTAAGTATTCACACCAATGAATTTCATACAGTTTCAAATGCTATTAATTGGATGGCTTCCTTTTGGTCTCTTTTCTTATGCTGATGAAGACAAATCTGCTAGGGTCAGCATTTACTACCCTTGTTGGAAGAACTGATCTACGTATGGAGGCATCAGTCAGAGCAGCCACTCTCTCCCAGGAGAGGAAAATGCAGGTTCAAGGGCCACCTTGAGTCACCTTGCTCAGGCCTCCTTCAGGGTCACTGCAAAGCTTCTTCAACAGCTCTGTGAGGGTGCTGAACTCTCTCAGGAGTGTGCAGTGAGAAACATCTAAATTGCAGAAGTCTAGCAGGAAGATGACCTGCAGGAGAATGAATGGAGGACTTAGCATGTACTTTAGGCTCTTCTGGGATGAGCACCCCTCCCAGTTTATTACAAACAGCTTCCATTTTCTCTTACCAATTGACGAGCTGCCATGGAAAACACTGAATTACATAATTTTTCTACTATGGTTTTTCCACTATACTGTGACAAAAGGGATTCTAAAATCACTCTTGTGCTTGCCAGAAACTGTCCCACATCTACAAAACATAAAGAGAGTAGTTAATACTTTATTTAAGAGAAACATTACTTGCTTCATTGTCACTAAAGATGAAGTTACAGAGCAGTGATTCTCAACCTGTGAGTCACACCCCTTTGGGGATCAAATGAGCCCTTTCACAAGGGTCACCTAAGACTGATGTGGGATTCCCCTCTGCATGCTGTGATTACCACTGATTAATAAAGAAACTGCTTTGGACCTATAGCAAGGCAGAACAGAGGTAGGCAGGGAAAACTAAACTGAATACTGGGAGAAAGAAGGTGGAGTCAAGGAGAAGCCACGGAGTCGCCAGAGGAGATAGACATGAGCTGCCAGTCAGAACTTTGCAGGTAGACCACGAACCTCGTGGTAAAATATAAAATAATAAAAATGGGTTAATACTAGATGTACAAGCTAGCTAGCAATACACTTAAGTGATTAGCAAAGTAGTGATTTAAATAATATTGTTTCTGTTGATTATTTTGGGAGTCTGGGCAGCCAGGAAATGAACAAGCAGCTTCCTACTACAAAGACCATAAGAAAACATGGATATTTACATTATGATTCAAAATCGTAATGTAAAAATTGCAGTTATGAAGTAGCAATAAAATAATATTATGGTTGGATGTCACCACAACATGAGAAACTGTATTAAAGGTCGCAGCATTAATAAAGTTGAGGACCACAGCTGCCCAGGAATACAAAAGCTGGGATTTTGCATCAGATGAGACTGTTAGCCATCATGCAAATACTTCTGGAAGGGAAAAACAGTGCAGATTTTAGTAAAAGGCTGCCATTAGAGTGAGTGATGCCTTTGTTCTTGTTACTTTTCAGAGAAGTGGAGATAACATTTCTGTAAGTGAAGCTACGCCAGTCATAGAGGCACATGCCTGTAAACCCAGACTATGAGGCTGAGGCAGCAAAACTTTGAGTTTGAGGTCAGCCTGGGCTAGTAGTGAGACTCTGTGTCAAAGAAGAAAAATAAATATCAGCCCTGTTACAGGGCTGTGACACAGGAAGCCATATGCACACCTGCTATGTAAGGACACGAGTTACTGAGGAAGGGCATTCTCGCCAGGTCAGATTCTGACACCTGTCTGTGACCATGGATTGCTGGCACTCACATTTTTCAATAAGATCCGTGGCGAGCTCTTTGGCTGCAGTGTCCGTGCTCTTGAGCTGCAGGAAGCACCAGGAGAGCAGGCTGCCTTGCACAGACCAGAACAGGGAGAAGAGCACAGAGCCAACCTCCCCATGGGCCCGGCTGAGCATCAACAACTCACACTGCAAGAAAGCAAATTGTCCAGACAAGACTATTCAGAGAACACAGTAAGAGATCTCTACCAGAGCAACAATTACAGGAAAACAAAACACTTTGCACATGGGGAATAGTCAATCCCACAGCAAATCAAGAAAGATGCTTTATGAAGACTCCCCTCTACAAAAGGTTTTCTGCACCCCAAGGAACCCATCCCATTGCTGATCTTCATTCTCTTATATCTTCATATTTCTTCTCTCTTTGTGGCTCTTCCCAAGTATTTGATCAAATTTTTCCTATCCTAAAATAACTGTTCATCTTTTTATGGATGTCTAGCCATCATCTTTGTTCTTAAAACTTTCTTTGAAGGGGTCACCTGACCTCTATAGATAAGCTCTTGCACATAAGAATCATAGGCATATCAAAATGTGGAATCAACTTCCCCAAGCTGGAACCAAACCATCAGATAAATTATGACATGTCAAAAAGGCTATTGGACACAAATGAAAGACAGCACATATATCAACATTAATGAATCTAAAAAACAATGCTCATTAAAGCAAAAGTGTCACAGAGGGTTGCATGCATATGATTCTGTAAGGCAAAATAAATACCCTGTGTCAGAATAACTAGACAAAAAAATAGAGAACCAGTGAGCCCAAATAAAGTTATTTAGAGAGGAGCAGGAAAGTGAGGCCACCAAAGGGCTAGCGGCAGGGAGCCTGAACTTCAGGGAGACTAGTCCTTAAATAGTTTTGTTTTTCAAATTGTTTGTGTGTGTTATCCATCCATCCATCCATCCATCCAACCATCCATCCATTCTCTTCTGCATGTGTACCTCATTCAAAAGATACCACCATAGCTGGGCATGATGGTACACATTTATAATTCTAGCACTGAGGAAGCAAAGTTAGGTAGATTTCTGTGAGTTCAAGGCTCATTTCTACAAAATGAGTTTCAGGTCAGCCATGGTATGAGACCCTGCTATATGTTTGTATTTATTTATTTAGGTTTTTTTTTTTTAATGGTTTCTCTGTGTAACCCTGGATGTCCTGGAACTTACTCTGTAGATCAGGCTGGCTCAAACTCAGACAGTTGCCTGCCCTTGCCTCCTAAGTTTTGAGATTAAAGGTGTGTACCACCACATCTGGATCTTTTTTTTTTTTTAAAGGGGGAAAAAAAGATGGAGAGCTGAGTTACTTCAGAGGTTGAGAACACTTACTTCTTTTGCAGAAGACCTGAATTCAGTACCTAATACCTACATGGTGGCTCACAGTTCCAAGGGATCCAATGCCCTCTTCTGACATCCAAAGGCACCAGGCATGTATGTCATGCACATACATGCATACAGGCAAAATACTTACACATATAAAATAAAAATAAACATAAGCTTCAAAACTAATAGATACCTTCATTTATTATGGTTTTACTTCTGCCTTTCATTTCTCTAATTCTAGGGGCACCATTCCTCACAGGTATCAATTATCACCAGGAGGTCAAAGTTCCTTCCTGTACCTCAGATGTTCTGTTCACCCATGCCTTCACTTTTCCTCCTCCCTGAGCTGCAGTTCTCTTGAAATCGTGCCCACAATCTTTTCTGTTCTTCCAACTGTCCTTTCTTAGTAGATGTCCTCCAGTTTCCCAGCTGTCCAGTCACAGCTTCAACTACCATCAGTGTGTTATACATTATGACCCCAGCATTGACTCCTTTCTGCAGTGTGCAGCCAGACCTCACCGCCTGAAGGCTCTACCTGTCCAGAGTCCACTCATTGCTATTCTTCTCTTCAAGTGCCTGTTCCTTCCTATCTTGTCACAGGCTCTCTCAACCTACACTGTCTCCATCTTCTTCTCTGCTAGACAAGACCTTATTTATGTCTCTCCCAGGTTCCAGCACCGCCTTTCTCAGCCCTTCCTGAACTCCTCTGGAAAGGGCTGGGTGTGCTCCCCGGCCTCTCCCGACCACATGCCCACACTCTAACAGCATGACTACATAGTGAGAAGTGTCTGATTGATGCCATCACATGTCATCTGCTCTCCAGACTGGGCTCCTCTATCACTAGATCCCCTGTGCCTGAAACAGGGCCTTGTACACAGCAGGCATCCAGTGGGTACAGGTGGCTTAATAAACTCAGGAGAAAACTTTCAGGCAAGCAGTTCTGACCACTTTTATACTTTTTCCTAATCCAACTCTACCTCTCTTGTCTAATCACCAGTATTCGAGGGGGACTATGTTAGTGGTTGAATGATTTCTGCCAAGGAGCTTCAGTACAGATCAATGTCCCCTGTGTTCAGACGAGAGATGGCTGACAGGATAAGTACTTGATCTCCAAGTGCCAAGGCTTATGGGAAATTCTCTTGACACAAATGCCACCTCATTTCTCTAGTTAGCTTACAACAAGTGTGACCCTGTGGACAAGACAGAGTGCCCCAGATTTTAGTCCTGGTTCCAGCATTTAGCAACTTCTCCCACAGGAAGCACAACCAGCAAGAGTGAAGCCCAGTGGAATCCTGAAGTCTTCTATCTCAGCATGTGACTGCAGAGGGATCAGGGAGGGCTTAGAAAGACTTGCACTTGAGGAACATACAGGATGGCAATGAGCTTCAAGGCATGAGAACACCAGAAACAAAGATGGAGACTAAAATGAGCAGTGGCCAACTAGGGTGAAGAGCACATGTTGATAAGAAGTAGTTAGAGTGAACATTATAAGGAAGACTCAGAGAAGGGCAAAAGAGTCCAGAAACATGACAGAAAGCACGAAGTCAAAAACAAAGAATTAATGTAATGCAAAAGTTATGTTAGTTTGAAGACATGGTAGCTAGACAATGGTCAGTCTCGGTGAGTCTGTGACCACTGGTGACTTAATTAGCCTACATGCTCTGACAGGGTTACAAGAGAAACAGCAGAACACTCACTAAGCCCACTACTGTGGGTCGCTCTATCAACAACTTGATAAGAGGAAACAACTGGAGGAGTTCAGGGCCAGGGATGTGGCTCAGTTGGTATATCAGTTGCCTAACATACATGAAACCCTGCATTTCATTCCAGTACTGTAAAAACTGGGCATAGCACACGTCATCTACAGTCAAAGCACACAGGAGATGAAGGCAGAAGAATCACAGCCTTGAAGTCATTCTGGGTAGGTTAGTCTGGGATAGATGAGACTGTATGAAAAACCAAAGCACTAATAAACAAACAAACAAATAAACCTACAGACACTAAACCACAAGATACAAGATAAGTTATTCTGAACTCTACATTTCCAAATTTCTTTCTCCTACTCTTGGGTGCTTGATAAAACTGCTTAAGCATTTTGAAATCAGCAGTATGGGGTTGGGCCTGGAAACCATATTTCTATCAGGCAATGCTTATTTGGGAGCAGCATAGGCTGCACTCTGAGAAGCACAAAATATATCACCAGCACAAGATAAAGAGATCATAGCATCATAGTGGACAGGGCTAAAAATTCATGAACTCATCTTAAGTTTTCAAAAAGTCAATGCGTTTAAAAAAAAAAAAACAGACCTTGCTGGGCTCACTGACCAGTACTCACCGGGGAACTTAATGACTCCAGCCTCTGCTCACAGAAGTCTTAGCAAGCAAGCACTCTGACGTTTTTACTTCTTGCTGAAGTAAACAAAAAGCCCCTAATTTGTTTACAGGGGCTGGCTAGGAACCTCTGTGTCCATGTGAAGCAATCAATACTAAAGTATAATCATATTGTAAACGAGGGCTACAAGGAGGGCACAGCAGCTGGCTAACTACGTTCCTGAAAGCAGGAAGTAAAGACAACAGGTGGCTGTCACTAGGTACCTCTCGAGCAGCAACAGACAGGAGGGTGTTCATGACTGCCAGGACTTCATTGGTGTTTGTGCTGGCCAGGTCACTTTTCTCAGGTAAAAGTAGAAGACCTCCTGGATCCTTATCACTGAAAGGATACAAACTTGTCAAACATCTGGTTACATTATGTTTTCTACCTTGAAGGTTCCAAAAAGACTATAGACAGATTTCAATGTCAGGGATCCGAAAGACAAACCACATGGTCCATTATATTTTATGTAAATCTATTAGCATCTTCAAGAACAACACATCTTCAAGTTTTCCCATTCCTGCTTCTTTCTTTTTGCAAACTACTATTCCATGCTTTTGCGCATGCGCACACGTGTGTATGTGTAGGCCAGAAGATAACCTTGTATATCGTTCCTCAGGAACTTTCTACTTTGAGAAAGGGTCACTCATCGGCAAGGGACTTGCCACCTTGGCACCTTGGTTGCCTGGCCAGCAAGCCCTAGGGATCCACCTGTTTTTGTCTACCTAGCACTAGGATTGTAAATCATATCACTATGCGTGGCCTTCTTCCTTCCTTCCTTCCTTCCTTCCTTCCTTCCTTCCTTCCTTCCTTCCTTC